CCTTCCTATGTGATCGCCGTTGTGGCTGTCTGCGCTCTCTTGGCCGTCGCTATCGTGAGTGCCGTCGTGCTTATTGTGTTTCGCCGAAGCCGTCAAAACGTAGCAACTGTTGAACTGAAGAATGAAGATTCAGTGACCGCCTAATCATCGCTGGCTACAAGTTCGGAGCAGAAACAGCTGAACTCACCATAAAACATAAAATGAACTGCACAAGTGAAATACACTCTAAAAAGGGGGAACTAGTCCTCTTAAAATCTTTTATGGCACTTAATTAATCAGCAAAGACGCCGTGTATGGCTCAGGTTTTCGGTTTGAAAAGTAGCTAGTAACAGCGAAGTCTTTGACCAGAAGCACAACGAGAGCTATGACCAGAGGAGAGAAATATCTTCCAAGTGTTTTCACTGCTTCATAAAGTCGTTTCAATGAGATTTTCAAGCAGACTAATTATTAGAAAAGAACGTGGTGATTGAAACTAAACTTCTCGCACGAAATAGTTTTCAGACGATATAAAAGACAGTTACGAGACTATTTAGGACAATATCTTGTCTTACAGAAGCTTTCGGATAATTTGAGCAACATGTAAAGGAATACCTATATTTCCTTGTCGTTAGTCAGGTGTATCTTTCGTTTCTTGGACTCCCATATGAAATGGACCGGGAAGATTGTCAGATATTTTAAAAGCAAACCTAAAAGCATCAAAATCGCGTTGTAGAGATGTCAATTCTTTCTGACGGGTCTTTCTTGCCATGTTTTTCAAAGTTTGATTCAAAATACTGGAATAACTTTAACTGTGGTCATTTTGGTGGTGATGTAAACACAAGAAGCGGTATTAAACGGACGACTTTTAACTCCAATTTAAAAGTCCGATGATCTCCTATGTCACTTGTACATGTGAGTAACACGTGGGATTATTGCAGGCATATGTAAAACATTTATGTTTCCAAGTAATTAAAGACACTTCCATTTAATCTCTTTATTAGATACAGGCAAGTTTTTGCTCCAAAAGCTCAGACCAAGACCTTATGTCTCATTAGGTCTGATTATTTGCTTAGGTCTGTTTATTTACTCGACACTTGCTGTAAGCTCCACAATGCACGAAAATAAAATTGTCGTGTCTTCGCATGAGATGCTAAACATGTGTCGAGTTTTTCCTTCCTCTCAGCTTCGATTGACAATCACTCCATCTCCCAAGGGTCTTTAATCATGATCCTCTCGAATTAATAACATAAAATACAAATTATGCAACGCTTTCGAGAGGTATATCAAGCGTAGTCAATTGATAAACCGATAATCGATATTAATCGATAACATTCGATTGATATGAATTGCCGATAGTAATCGATGAAAATTGATAGGGAAAAAAGTTGTGAGTTCTCGATTGCCGATAGTAATCGATAGCCATTGAGTCATCGATTGGTATCGATTATCATCGATTGTTATGGAAAATTATTTTTGTCCTTTTACAAGTTACACTGATAAGATCTTTGACAAAATTTGTGTATAATGGTTTTATTGAGTCAATTTGTCATAGCCTGCGTATCTTTTAGATATAAAATGAAGAACAGAAAAGCAAAAACCGACACAACGTAGAAGGATTTTTTGAAGGTTTGCTATATTTCGGCTGGCCAAACCAGCCTTCAGGTTGTACCTGAAGAAGGCTGGTTTGGCCAGCCGAAATACAGTACACCTTCAAAAAATCATCCTACGTTGTGTCGGTTTTTGCTTTTGTATTCTTCATTTTATATGTGAAGCCGATTAGATCACTATTGATCCAACGTATACCAGCAGGATCATCGTTCCGGTTGCTTGCTTAAACATTTTATAGTATTTTTACAATCATTGACAAAATAGCAAGAACGGGAACAACTAGCAGAAACATTTCGGGCTTTACACGGCTTTCTTTGCTAGTTTACGACACCGGAAAAAACTCAACCCAGAGTAGCAGCGTAAAACCCTCCAGTCTCATTGTAGCGTCGGCATTATGATGAATCGAAATAAACGACAGAGTCAGTGTTCTAGTGATTTCAGTTATTTGGATTAGGAAACAAACGTAAGAAAAATCTCGGGAGTAGACCGAAAGGAAAATGTAATCTAGCTAGCATGCTGAAGAAAATGAACGTCTCGTGTTGTTCCAGGTATTCAGTTTTACACAATAACAAAGCCATCTTTAAATAGCTCGGGTGGTTATTGTCGATTTTTGCCAATCGATAGCAATCGATAAAGAAATTTTTCTGTGAGTTATCGATTGTTATCGATTGCCGATATCAATCGATAGTAATTGGCGATTTATATCAATTTATATCGATTGATTTCGGATATCGATTTTTATCGATTGACTACGCCTGGGGTATACAATGGACGAGGGAGTTCCCCCCCCCCCCCCCCCCCTCCTTTCACCAACCCTCCATAAATTCTACTTTAGCTACGATGCTGCATCATACTTCCTTTAGAATTTTTGGCTTTTGAGANCTAGGGGAGGGACTCAGGGGGTCCTTGCCCCCCTCCACCTTATTTTGGGTAAAAAAGAAAAAATCACAGAAGGAAGAAAAGGCGGTAGGGCAAGCAAAAACAAACCGCCCCGCCCATTAGCTCAAGGTCTGGATCCGCCACTGGCGAGTGTGTATACCAAGAAAATACAAGTGGCAAATAAATCTCATATCCAACAAGCGCGAGTGGAATAATTGCTTTATTAAAAACGCCTCCAAAATATAGAAAACTAAAATAAAACTTAAAACGAACCAAAAAATTACGATTACGCATGTCATATCTGTAGAGCATGATATAATGGCTCATCAAAGGGACACTGTCACCATTTTTAGCATGATTTTGGAAATCTCAAAAACTTATATCGATCTTCGGAAGCTGAACAATAATGGTTTTGTTTTGTAGAGCAGTACTCGACAAACGATTAGAACGTATTAGGAAGTGAGGATGGCTAACGATGGCGAAGATGGAAACGGATTGTGACATGGATATTTGAAAAAGCGTCAGGGCGTCAGTTTTTCAAAGGTTCAAGTTTGGCTCGAATGATCGTTGAAATTTTGCAAAAATCTTGCTGCAGTGTGGACTTCCTTCAAGATATTGCTTTTAATCATTTAGTTAGAGCTAATTAAGTAAACTAAATTTCGGAAGTTTCAGTTAAATGTCAAATGGAACAGCATACCTTTCGGAATTGTAAACTACCACTCCTTTTCTGTCAAACGAGTCTTCCTTCGAAACCATTCATATGAAAATGTGTGCAGCCTACAGGTTCATTTTCATCTTAATCAAACTCATTTTCACGTGAAAGGTTTTGCAAGAGGACTTGTTTTAAAACAGAGGCACAAGGTAACTCGGAAATGGTCTAATGTTTTCCATAACGACGCCATACTGAAAACAGAATCACGCTGCTTAAACTCTTGTTATATGGCTGAGAAAAACACTTCATTGTGTAAAGGAAAAAAGCGCGGTCCTATGGGATTCTAGCTAAGGATTGGTAACAGGGGACAGTGGGAGGGAGGGGGTCTCTCCGTGTTTTTCGACTCCTAGATGGCCTCCCGGATAAGCGAACGATTATCTAGAGCTTACCCAGCAAAAGAACCTGCACTGGAGGCTAAGCCCCCAACGGAAGTTGAACCCTTCCGGATACCAAGTTTACATTTGAGTAGCCGCGTATTCCATCAAAGAGTACGATATACTAGAATCTGTAGTGAAAAGCACCTCAGATGGTCCAGACTGACTGAGGAAAATATTGCAATTATCCCGCTAAAATCTAGCCTCTTGTAGGCATTCCGTTCAGTTGGACAATTAAGTGTAGCACGGAATTGAAGGGCAGAGCGAAAAGAGGAGAGCAGGGTGCTTGCCAAGTTTTTCCGCCCTTGATAGAGAGCCTTTCTGCGCCGCTCTTAGATTTTGTCGCGTGGCCCCAACTAACTGGACGGCTGGAGAAGGAAAGCTAAAACTGAGAAAGGAGGGATGATATCTCTGAAAGTAATCAATTTCTCCGCAAATTTTTCAATGAATTATAGTGTAGAGTCAACCTCGTTCCCAGGGTCTTTTCCTCGAAGGTTTTGTGGAGAAGGCCCTGAGAACAAGGTTTGAACGCCAGAGAGACCCTGGGAACAACGATATGAACGCCTGATCAAATTCAGATAAAATGGATACAAGCATACAGTTTTCGGGATTCTAGAATGAACCGCGGACGAGGAGGATCTCGAAGACCAAATCGAGGGGGAGGACGTTTCAATGTAAAGCCTCGAACTTTAAACCGTACCGTTCTTTCTTCAGCAAAACAAGAGCGAGATCAAGACCCGGAAGAGTACACAGACGACTACGATGAAGAATTCGAGTATGGCGATGCTATGGCCGCAATTCGTGAACCTTCGCCGGACAGAAAGAGCGCAGTGCCGGCAAAATCTAAATGGAGGTCCAAGGCTCCGATTCAAAGACTGCAAATGAGCGGCGAAAACCAAGAAATGATAGAAGAAGCTCTTCGGGGTCTTCAACTTGGCAGGACTAGCATTGACGATTTTAAAAGCGTGGATTTCGATGTTAAACAGGTTGAGAGAAATGAAGCTTATTGGAAGAAGGCTGGAGATCAGAAACTGGTGGTTGAAAGCGGGATTAACTTTGCTGTTGATCGCGAGAACGAATTACAAATTGAAGTCGACGAAGAAATCTATAGCTCCTATGCGGTGAAGAAGTTGCTTCAATGTGGCTTTGAGAAAAAGAGGTGCATAGACGCCCTGAAGCAGAATGATGGAGATCTAGGGGCAGCTTTGGAGTATTTACTTTGTGGTTGTTGCGAACTAAGTCAGCTTGGAAAGAAAAATCCAGCTTATAGCGAAGAAACGTTTCAAGAAGCAACTGTTCAAAGGCAAGAAGAAGCCATGGCTCTTGAATCAATTTACAATGAAGCATTCACAGAAGTTCTTGCAGACAGTGTGTGGACAATTGAGTTGGAATTGCCTTTTCTACAAGCAGAATTTGAACTAAAGAATAGTAGAAGAAATGTACACAAGCAAAAGACAACCAAAAAGTCTACAGAGAAGGCTGCTAATGTGTGTAGATTCTTTCAACAAGGTTACTGTAAATTCGGTGACAAATGCAGACTGAGTCATGCTAAATCTGATAATGAAACAGGGTCAAATGGAACAAAGAGTGAGCCTGAAATGAAAGATGTTGTGAATGACAGAACAGGTCCATCCTTTCTTTTCCATCTGGAAGTCCGATTCTGTAAAGGATCCCTCTACCCTTTTGAACCTCCACTGGTTGTATTTTACTCTACTCATGAATCAGTCTCGCCATCAGGGTGTCTTAATGTCACATTAAGGCTCAATAGGGAGTCTAAAGATTTATGTGATACTCAGAACCCTGTGATCTTTTGCCTTACCAGCCTTTTAGAGAACGAGGTGGAAATCATGGCATGCTATAACATGCCTCCTTCTGAGTATAGCTTGCCTGTAACAACAAAGATTGTCACTGCATTAGCTGACTCACAAGGTACTGTATTTGAAAGAGACCTACCAAGTGATAAAAGCAGGGCAGTCAACAAGAAGGTGGATATTACAGAACCACAAGCATCACCAGATGTGCTCAAAACACAAAAGAAAAACAGGAAACTCAAACAGCAGTTTCAGCAATTGCAGGTGAACTCTTAGAACCATTGTAGAAATTTTGTAATGGAGGTGCAGATTGCTGGCTGTTGGCCAATAATATATATATATATATATATATATATATATATATGGGCCCCAACAGTGTGTTGGTCCTTAGAATTAGGGAAAGGCCAATATTTACCCTCCGTGACTGAACAAGCTTATTCAATAAAGGATTTATTGTACTGCTTAAAGTGCACAATGTTCTTTTGGGAAATGGTTGGTAATCCCAAGCAGGCAAGGCAGCCCCATCCACAACTCAGGTAGCCAATCATAAAAGACAGTTTGAGTAATTTTACCCCCATTACAGGGTTAACCATACAACGACATTTGTAGGAATGAGTACATTAGATGTCTGTTTTTCTCAGCTTAGTTTAATAACATTGTGTGTATACAACTTTTGATCTACAAAACCTGTGATTCAAACTAATTACTAAATTGCTACTTTAGTCCGTTCCAGCATATAAGTTGATGCTCGAGGAAAGAAAAAAGCTCCCCGCTTGGCAGTCACAAGATAACATCGTAGGAAAACTCCAGGACCATCAAGTTATTGTTATCAGTGGAATGACAGGGTAATTATAATTTAAGCAGAAGGTCATTCCACAAAACGTATATTTTTTGTCAACCCTGATAAAAACCTTGCACTAAGTTTAGCCACTTACCGAAGTTTCAGCCTTTAAAGTGCAGGTTTCCTTGTGAAATTCATCTCTAAAGAAGCCCAAAATTTGAACATCGTTGGTGCCATTTGAACAGTGCTCAGCAGTACCCAGGCCGCGTTTTTGTGACGTAATTCCGTTCGACAGATTTTGTCCACATGGCTTGCGAAGAGCCTTTTAACTACCACTCTGGGTTCTGGTTGCTCTTGAGCCATATTATTTTGAGCCAAACATCCTCCAAACTCCGAAATGATAGCATTGAAAATAGTGAAGTGGATAATTGCTTGGAAAAAATTAGAGTTTGCTGACCTTGTAAAGGATGCCAAGTTAGCGTCAGGTTTTTCTCCTTTCCACCAATGTCAAGTCAGACGGAATTATGTCACATAAACAAATCCCATCACTCTGACTGAAATTTACTGAGTATTTTAGATTTTTGTTTCTTTTTGTGTAGTGTCTGCAACAGAATTGTAGTGTCCGCAACAGAAAACAAGATATTTATTATAAGCTTACAAAGGAAAATTCAGGGCAAACTGTTGCAGTACAATTTACCCTCAAGGGTAAATTGGAACTTATCAAACTTGCATCAAAGAAGCTTCATTTGGTCACTCACAAAGAAAATTTAAGGTTGAAAAATGTGGAGGAAACTACATTTGGCCAATGGAAAGCAAATATTGCATAGTTCTAATGATGAGGTCAGTTTGAATCAGTTGTTTTTGTTTTTTTGTACTTTTTTTCTATACAAACAATTTATTTGTAGTCTCTGCAATGGCTATTTCATAAATACTGATAATTGATAAAACATGGAACACTGTACTCCTATACTACTTGAGACTCTAAATTGAACTGTAGGTTATTTTTGCCAATGCCACTTATGGGAATTAAATTTTACTCCAGCAGGTCTTTTCCAAAAGATTCCCTGATTTACTTACTGTAAACATTTGCTGATAAGCCACACTTGCACATAAGCCCCACCCCAAGTTTGGCAACTCAAATTTTGAGGAAAAAAATTTGGGAAAGAAATCATAAATGTAATGAATCAAACGTGGGACCTTAAGAAAGATGCTTAATTACATGTACAGTCATTCTTTTATTGAACGTTAACCAGCATAAACTCACTTATATTGAAAACAGAAAATACTTCAAACTGAAACCCTTTGATCATTCATCATTTACTTCTTTCACAGATGTGGTAAGACCACACAGATTCCACAGTTTATCCTCGATAGTCATCTCAAGGGTGGCCATGGGGAAGAGTGCTTCATCATTTGCACTCAGCCACGCCGAATCTCGGCCATGTCTGTGGCAGAAAGAGTATCTAGTGAGAGAGTTGAGAAGATTGGACAGTCAGTGGGTTATCAAGTCAGACTGGAGAATAAACAGGTAAAAGCACACTCTAAATGTACAGTACATGTACATGTATAAATGTGTGCCCACCAGCTGGGTTATACTGTACATGTACATTGTGCAGTTCCAGAAAATATCCATACTCCCCCACAGGAGCGATTAGAATTTCCTGGGGGTGAGGTGGGGGGCACTGTAAGACCAAAAAATTTAAAAAATGTTTCTTTGAAGCTTAGTTGGAATTTCAAGGGGGGTGGGCCAGAGGGTGTTAGACAAAATCCCTTGGGCTGGGGAGGTATGGGATATTTTCTGGAACTACACATTGTATTTATAGTGGAGGTGTGTTAGTGGTATTTTCAAAGAATGTATTATAATATTATAGTAATCTAGGATTTGGGCTTTTTTGTTGGGGGATAGAAACCCGACATTTGCAGACAACATTTTAGGGGGAGGAGGTGGATGGAGTGGTGCACAACACATTTGCATTATTTCAGAGTAGAATATATAGTGTCCTTTAAAAAGAGTGACAATGTTCTCCATCTACATGTATGAGTATGGCTGATACTCCTTGGTTTAAACTATTTGCTATTAAGTGATAAGTAAATGAAGTTCCTGTTACGTTAAGTGTTTTATGATTTTTGTCTCATTTTTAGTCTGCAGAAACACGCTTGTTGTACTGTACAACAGGGATTCTCCTGCGTCGTTTAGAAGGAGAATCTAGCTTGCCTGGCGTGAGTCATATCATTGTGGACGAAGTTCATGAAAGAACTGAAGAAAGGTCAGAATTTTGTACTTCATATGTGAAATGTGGGTTATAAGCCTCCCCTTTGTCACAGATGTAAGCCGTCTCCCATCAGACTTTTTCAATATTGTCAACTTGGTTAAATTTAAAAAAGATACCAGATTCTAAATAGACAATTCCAGCCACAACGCAGCCTGCATGTGCTGACATGCTCAAGGTATATCAGCTGACCACAATTAAGCTAGTACAGGCCCATGCTCTAGAAGCACCCAGGTGCTCCAGGCGACTAAGTTTTGCCTTGGGGTGACTGGAAAAAACTTCCTTTTTTCATATAAGCTTAAAGTCACTCCAAAAAATGTATATTTTTTGTCAATGCTAATAAAAACCTCACACAAAGTAAAGCCACTCACCAAAGTTTCAGCCTCTAAAGTGCAGGTTTTCCTTATGAAATTTGTCTCCAAGGAAGCCAAAAATTTGACATTGTTGCCACCATTTTAAACAGTACTCAGCAGTCAGGCTGATAGCACTGCAATCATTTCATCCTTCCTGCCATCTCTCTACATCCTTTGTCCTCCATTTTTGGTCTACTTGTACCTTCTGCCTATTGACCCTGACACCGTTCTAATAGACAAGGACAAGAGACAAGACAAGACAAGACAAGAGAATTATGTTTATCTGTACTGTAGAATTTACATGTAGAAGGTTAAATATAATATTACTTAAAATATTAAAAATGTATGTACACACAGTAGCTGGTCAACCAAAAATAACCATAGATCGAGCTAAACTAGCTGATTATCAGTGACCACCATTAATTATTTAGCTAACTGAAAATAAACGCAGAAGTCAGAATATAGGCTTTTAAAACTGAATTATCTGTACATGTATTGTAAGTTTAGAAAACACACCCCTGACAACTGGATGCCATATGAGATTCTGGCCATAATATTGCATTTTATAGAGGATTGATCTTGTTTGATCCAGCCATGCTAACCCATTTTTGTATCACCTAATAATTATGTTATTAAGTTTACTATTATTCAGCTCCTTCATAAACACATACGTTAAAACATTTTTTTTACCACTAGTACATAATTTGTTAAATTTGTGTTTTTTTTTCTAATTTCCAGTGATTTTCTTATGATGGTTCTAAAAGACCTGTTGACTGTGAGAACTGACATTCGGGTCATACTGATGAGTGCTACACTGAATGCGCAACTTTTTTCACAGTACTTCTATGATGCCCCTGTCATTCACATACCAGGTGCTGTAGCAATGACTGATAGTATTAACTCATGGCCATTAGGACATGCATGCTAATGAAAGCTTGCTTACCTTTTTTGGCTGGAAAATGAAGTTTTAAAGATACAAAGTTCGTAATGATCATTTGTTTTCAACTCACATAAGCGTACGAGCTGGGGGGTGACTGCAGCCCCCCAGCTATGGAAATTATGTAACTAATTTTTTGGGCAAAAAGTTGGGCAAAAATTAACAAAAATTGAGACTGCTGATTAGAGGTCATTCAGTATTAAAGCATTCAGTTTAACTATTTTTGAGATTATAGCAGTTTCATCTTAATTAGATGCGAGAATTGTCAACATTTTTGTTTTTCATGCAATTTGAGTGCATTTGCATCTTGATTTCAACACTCATGCATTTGGGCATTGCATAATTTTTGTGGGCAAGAAGGTCAGCCCCACCCCGCTCCAAAAAAAAGAAAAAAAAAAAAAGAAAAAAACAATTCCTGAAGGTGCCTGTGCACCTATGGCCATTCAGACTGGAGAAAAGCAAGTTAAAATTGCCAAGGATAAAATCTGAAACATTAAGGGAAAATAGACGATGCATACATGTACCAGCAAATCAGAGCCTGCCCTTTGTTGAGGTTATTAGCCAAGAGTAAAGCTTGACATTTCAGAATTTGTCCTTCTCAATGCTATCTTGCTCTTTCTTAGGCCAAGATTAAAATATTAGAGTTTTAACGGGGTATTTTGTAATTTCATTAAATCTTCATGACTAGTAAACTCAGAAAAGGTGCATGGTTAGTTGTTGGANGCATTAAAACATTTTTTTACCACTAGTATATAATTTGTTAAATTTGAGTTTTTTTTCTAATTTCCAGTGATTTTCTTATGATGGTTCTAAAAGACCTGTTGACTGTGAGAACTGACATTCAGGTCATACTGATGAGTGCTACACTGAATGCGCAACTTTTTTCACACTACTTCTATGATGCCCCTGTCATTCACATACCAGGTGCTGTAGCAATGACTGATAGTATTAATCCATGGCCATTAGGACATGCATGCTAATGAAAGCTTGCCTACCTTTTTTGGCTGGAAAATTAAGTTTTACATGTAAAGATGCAAAGTTCATAATGCTCATTTGTTTTCAACAACTCACATAAGCATATGAGCTGGGGGGTGACTGCAGCCCCCCAGCTATGGAAATTATGTAACTAATTTTTTGGGCAAAAAGTAGGGCAAAAATTGACAAAAATTGAGACTGTTGATTAGAGGTCATTTAGTATTAAAGCATTCAGTATAACTCTTTTTGATATTAATAAAGATGGTGAATTTTAATCTCGGTAATGAAATGTGAAGGTGAATTAATCAACATGATTAAATGGCCTTGCTCTCCATGAGTTCTCGTAGCTCAGTGGATAGAGCGCCCGCCCGGTGTTCGGGAGGTTATGGGTTCAATTCCTGTCGGGGACTCAGAATTTTTCTTTGTCCCACGCTTGTGTTATGTTGATTAATTCACCTTCACATTTCATTACTGAGCTTAAAATTCACCATCTTTATTAACTTACCACTACTCACGATGAATTTGATGGCGTTGATCCTAGCAGTATGCAGGACACCTATCATATATCAACTCAGTTAAATGGCCTTGCTCTCCATGAGTTCTCGTAGCTCAGTGGATAGAGCGCCCGCCCGGTGTTCGGGAGGTTATGGGTTCAATTCCTGTCGGGGACTCAGAATTTTTCTTTGTCCCACGCTTGTGTTATGTTGATTAATTCACCTTCACATTTCATTACTGAGCTTAAAATTCACCATCTTTATTAACTTACCACTACTCACGATGAATTTGATGGCGTTGATCCTAGCAGTATGCAGGACACCTATCATATATCAACTCAGTTAAATGGCCTTGCTCTCCATGAGTTCTCGTAGCTCAGTGGATAGAGCACCCGCCCGGTGTTCNTATTAGCCAAGAGTAAAGCTTGACATTTCAGAATTTGTCCTTCTCAATGCTATCTTGCTCTTTCTTAGGCCAAGATTAAAATATTAGAGTTTTAACGGGGTATTTTGTAATTTCATTAAATCTTCATGACTAGTAAACTCAGAAAAGGTGCATGGTTAGTTGTTGGAGCAGGGGGAAAACAGCAGAAAAAAAAACTGAGCAGCTGAACTAGGTTGTTAGAAGCTAGAGTGGCTCTTGGCTATCACCTTGCATGAGCGATTCTTACAGTTCTTTAGTACTTAGCACCCTTCTGCATGCGACCATAATTCAGTTTTTGTATGCTGCACATTTACCATATTTCTTAAATCACATAATTTATGAATGGTTTTTATAGGGGCGTTTCTTCGTGATCATGGTTGTCATGTACTTTTTGTACAATTTCTTTGCAGGTCGCACATTTCCAGTCGTGGAGTTTTTTCTGGAAGACTCCTTAGATATGACAAAGCAAGTGCAAGATACCACTTGAAACAGCCAGACTTCTGTAGTAGAATATACTGTACATGTACACTTGTATACATGAGTCAATTCTTAAATGAATTAATTATTAGTAGTAATAATTAATCCTAAGTTAGGTATTGAAGAAGTTTAACTAAACAAGGAACTACTGATTAGCTTAAAAAGTCTGTCTTTTTGTTGAGTTCATTTAAGTTCTTTGTTGAAAAGCGTTCTCTTGATCAAAAAATCCAGTTTGCTTCACATTTGCATGAGCACTTCATGCTATGATGTTTCTTGCCGGTGATTTTTTTGTTTGTTTGTTAAAAGTACAATTAAGGCATGGACAAGTTACAGGATTGCTGGATGTACATTTTTAGGACAGCATTGTAAATATGGTACATGATCGACAGGCTGATCCCTCTGCAGCAAGGCGTGAGCTTCCTCCGTAGTAAAACCTTGCGTCTTGCATCTACCTTTGTCATCCAATTAATAATTTGATATTATTTTTCTCTGATTTGTTCAGTATGTATATTAAAAGATATAGAAAACATTTTTCGTGTTTCTATCGAGTCATAGAAACACAAGTGGAAGATTGGGAGAATGAGAAAAAGCCACAGGGTTCAAAGGAATATATGTTAGTTATGTTACATTGTACTGTTACTTAAACCTTGGCTTGGCTGAACTATAACTTCTTTTGTTATACCCTTCAGGTACTTCATTATAATTATCAGCTTGGGTCATTACATTATTTCAGTAGGATAACTTGCTTATAAAACCTCTTTTTATCTCTGTTTTCAGGTTTCAAATTGACCCAAGCTCACCCTATGCAAAACCAATAAAAAGCTTGAACATTCCTGGTACGTCTTCCAAGAAGGGCCAGCTGAGTAAAGACATTCAGCAAGTACAGGCAGATTGTGTTAAATCTGCTGACTTCAGACCTCCTGAAGAAAGAATGGATGATCAAAATTTAACTGAGGATCAAATGGCTTGGAGATACTCAAGTAAGGAATGAAAATACATTTATAACAACCTATGGTACATGTTTTAGGACTGAGCATGGAGTCCAAAATAGCGTCAGGCCATGAGAAAAATGAGGCAAAGGGGAAAAAAGCCACCCAAATTTTTTTAACAAGTGCTTCCCCCTCCAACACCAGTCAATAACCCGTTAAACTAGTAGTTCTTTGCTGCTATTATTTTGCCATTTTAAGTGTGAGAAATGCTTGAACATAGGCTACCCAATCACAATGTACATCCTGTCCAGTGGAGACTCCCATGGATATAAAGAGGACAGGGGTGCTCATTCTACCTTTAAGGGGTTAAAAAAGCAGTTTTGGCACCTCTTGGGGTGTTCAGCCTCAAAAGGTCCACAGTGAAAGCCTTTGGAGCACGTGCCTTTTAGGGTATTGAGCTGAAAAAAATATGATAGGTGATAATGTGTTGTTTTAGAATTGATACCTCTTAGGGGTGAAAAAAAATTCTAGCAATGCCCACAAACAGGATTTTGGTACCTCTTAGGGGTTCTTTTCAAAATTTCTGACGAGCACCCCAGTATTGGTGTGATGTGTTCCTGCCCTCTAGGCCATCCCAGTGCACCTGCAGTTTGTTTTTATATACAGTCATGTACATTGTAGGCATGAACCCATATAAATTAATGTGGATTTATTGTTCTTCGCAGATTACAGTAAAAGTACCATTTTTTCCCTCTGCGCAATGGATCACAACAAAATCAACTATGATTTGATTGTTGCCATTCTAGAATGGATTGTGGGCAAAGAGCACGAGGTAACCACTCTTCATTGTCTTTGTAATATAGTATACATGTATATATATATGACTGAATTTATGAAAACCATGTTAAAGGCCTTGCACCAAAATAGCCGTAATTTTATGCACTCTGATTTTACAACTCCTAAATCACTTCAAGTAGTGGAAAAAAAATAGCGAGAGGAGAGCAAGAAAAGGAAGATAAGAGAGCGGAGGAAAAAAAAAGAGTGACATTCCTTTAAATTTTATATCGGCTTCTTTGGAGAAAAAAAATGCTTCAAGATTTCTTTAACTCTGTAGAGATACTCCTATCACTTGGCTTCATGTTACAGTTGACCTATCTATTGATAGTTACTTCAGTCCAGTGCACATTTAGGTCTCAGGTTCATCTAAGTTCATAGCTATGATTTTCCTTGGTTATTTTCATTTTGAATTTGCTATCTTAATTGAGGACCTCAGTAAACCACTTTGTGATATAGGGTTATGATAATAATAATGATAATAATAATAATAATAATAATAATAATGATAATAATGATAATAATGATAATAATGATAATGATAATGATAATGATGATGATGATGATGATGATAGTGATAGTGATAATGATAATAGTAATAATAATAATAATAATAATAATAATGATAATAAAGACTTTATTTAAGGAGGGTTAAACACTTAATAGCCAAAGGATAATAAACTTGTGGCCCTCAGAAAATAAAACTATGAATACAAAATATAATATAATAAAAGTTAAAAACCTAAAATTATGAGAAATGCGAGTATACTGTTTACAGTAAGATTAAAAGATTAAATTTTAAAAGTTAAATCCTAAAATGGTCCAAATGTCGCTTTACTGCGAAGATAATTTATTTTAATTTATTTGTTATTAATTTTATGTATTATAATTATAATAATAATTAATTAAAATAATAATAATTATAATAATGATAGTAATATAAACATATTTAACCAGGGTAAACCCATCAGCAAATGCTGTCACATCAAAGGGTGCCCTAGACAACTAAAAATTATAAACTGGAACAGGCTTCAACTGTGTCAACTAGTTTGACCCAAGTGCAGAGTTGTGCAAAGGAAACTTTAAGGTCTACTGTAGACTCAAATGACTACAAAGTGCCTTGTTATCTTGTAGTACCCCAAGAGTGGCGCCGTGCTGGTGTTTCTTCCTGGCATGGGAGAAATTATGGCTTTGCTGGAACAACTTCAGAATCACAAAACATTCAGTTCAAAGACTTCTAACAGGTAAATAATTATTGAACAGGGAGAGATGGTTTCTCTTCCACGTGGAGTTAAGTATGGGTTATTGACCAAGTGTGAGGTCAAGATGGCTGGATATTGGCCAAGTTCTTTTTTTACGTGTTTATGGACCTCGACTCCGTCTCGGTCCATAAACTTGCAAAAAAAGAGCGAGGCCAATATCCAGCCATCTTGACCAAACAAGCTTGGTGAATAAAGGATTTATTATATGGCTTTTGGAAAAATTTTTCTTGCAGGACGCGGCGGGTAGTCCCGAGCAGGCAAGATAGCTCCATCTTGCCTGCTCAGGTAGCCAATCACAGCACATGATTTGATTCATCTTGCCCGCTCACGGAGCTAGCCATATAATAAACTCTGGTTATTGCATGATACTTGATCGAAACTGCGATTTTCACAAGACAGCTAGAGCTCAAAACTGTATTCTCCATAGTGCAAGTGAAGTCCACTCTACCCAGTATTGTGAGCTTCTGGGACTTAAGTATAAGTAAAATTAACAAACTGGGATGTAGAGAAACCAGCCTAACTATTATGCTGAACTAATTTTATAAGGATAGATTGCCTGGCCATAGACTTACAACCAATCTCTGTATGTACTTTATACCAATGACAATAACTGGACTTACAAATGTAGAAGATCTTTGCCCAGCCCAACCCCCTTGCTTTTTAGCACGTGTATTCCACACACTGGGTTAATATTTTGCAAAGCTTGCAATCTCGATGAACTCAAGACAGAATAGTGGGCCTGCGGACAGACTACTGATGTACATTCTCTAAACCTCGTTTGACTCTGTCATTGCTTACAGGTTCAGGATCATTCCTCTGCACTCCATGCTTTCTAGTGAAGAACAGAGCATGGTTTTCAAGTGAGTGCTAGACATCAATTGATTTAATGCAGCTAGTACTCTGATAACGACAAGCTTGTCTTGAGAGGATGTTGAACTGTTCGCCAATGGGCTACTATTTCAATAATGCTAGAGGAAACTAAAAAGTGACAAACATTTAACTTTCCATCGTACATGTACCTTTGTTCAATTTGAAGCAAAATTTATTTTTTAACAGTTGAGTTGAAAAATAGTTTGTTGGAAGCTTACATTTCTAGTAAATGGGACAGGAACGTTAGGGTATGTATCTCTTTTTTTATTTTCATTCCAGAAGCGAAGCAGTGTTAGACTACAAGTAGTCCCTCTTTTGCTTAGTCCATCGTGCATGATGCGAAAAAAACCATGAGAAAAGAAAAATGGCCAGTTTATTTACGGTCATGCTCAACGGACTAAGTGAAAGAGGTACTACTCGTAGTCCAAGGCAGTACATAATTATGTATGTACGAGTTTGCATGCATTGACGTGCATTGACATGCATTGACGTGCATTGACGTGCATAAGCACGTTTTCCATTTAACTTTTAAAATAAATGTCCTGTCAATAGCAAAATAGCTATCTTTTTCTACTGTGTTATATCTTTTAGGAAGCCAAAAGAGGGTGTCCAAAAAATAGTTCTGTCCACAAACATTGCAGAGACTTCAGTTACTATAGATGATGTCGTTTATGTCATCGATTGTGGAAGAATGAAAGAAAACAGGTAAGAATAAATGTTCAGTTTTGGTGGAACCCCATACAAGTGTGTCACCGATTGTTGAGTGAGGAGCTTAAAGTTCAGGGTTATTTAAATATTTACTTATTACTTAGTTTACTCTAATTCTGAAAGATGCTTGTGTGGAAATAAATGGGTAAGACAATTTTCTTTGCACACATAGTCTTCCACGCAACCAGAAGTATGCAAATTGCAGTCAAATGTGATTTGGGCTTACCCCTCAGAACTTCAGCATCAGTGACCTTGGTAACAGCTTGCCTATGGGAGGGGTGTAGAGTGGTTTTCACATGAGGGACACAAGTAATTCGCATTTGGTTGAGTTTTGCATAACTACGCTACTTGATTGGCTTAAAGAAACTCGTGCCACTTTGTCATCCAATCAGAAGTAAGACCAAAACCAACCATTTTACGACACTCAATTGAAAACCTCTCTGACTGTTTTTTTTTCTTTCATTTTTGTAAGCTTTTATGATATAAAGTATTGTTCTCTTCTCTAGCACTTTATATCAAGAACTTAGTCAAGTGTCTTCAATATTGCAACTGGTTCATAATAGATTTTCAAGTTCATTGGCTCGTAGCCACTCGCTCCCTTCCTTAAGGCTGCGATCCACCGAAAGTAAGGTCAGGAAAAATATATATATATATCCTAATTGACCACTCCCCCAATGGGGCTTTTCAGGGCCAATGAAACCAGAGGATGAAACAAATAATGCAAATGAACATAACATGGTTAAAAATACCAACTGGCGGGAGGCAAACTGGTTGGCTATTTACAAGCATGACCAAGGAGTTGAACTAGGGTCTACCGAGAAATTAAGCTGTTAACTCTGAAAATAACAAGAATCAGTCACTTCTGGGTCTTAACGATAATGAAATAACAGAATTAATTCGTAGATAAACAAATCAATGGACACAACTGAAAGTGATTAAGCAAGCAAATAAACAAATATTAGTACATGTGTACTCTTAACGTGGCTAATTCACTAAATATTTCTTTTATCGTAAATTTTGAGTATTTCGGGTAGCATCAAGAAAACATTCCCTGGTTGATAGATATACTTTCCACAATATGTTAGGTATGACTCTGTCAAGGGCATGGAAAGCCTCGAGGAAGTCTGGGAATCTCAAGCAAATGCACGTCAGAGACGAGGAAGAGCAGGCCGAGTGACATCCGGGGTCTGTTTCCACTTGTTTACCAGTCATCGATTTGAGCACAAAATGGCCGGCCATCAGATTCCGGGTATGAAATAACTAATTAGAAATTGCTTTGAGGCCTATTGGTGGGCTAAATAAGGAATCTAGGAAGAAATTTTGCAGTGATTACAATGCGCCTATTAATTTCATTATTATGTGACGGAGAAAATTGCTTTATTGTGATTAGCTGAGAGCAGGCCAATTTATCATTAATTCCTAATTTGCCCTGCAGTGCAAATTGACGTGTTCGCGTTCGCAATTTTCTTAGTCATAATTATTATAAAAAAGTAATCGTATGCAATCTTGAACAATTAAGGATGTACACTACTTGTGATATTTGAAAAACCCTTTCAAATTTTCAGAGAATTTTCAAATACCACTCGTAGTGTTAATCCTTAATTGCATTCGCATTCATCCGATTACCTATACTAATGTGAACACAGTGTAAAAAGTGTTTGACATATGAAAAGAATGTGCTTGGAAGTGATGTTAAACAAGTTGAAATACGGTGTTACTTGGTGGAAACTTTGTTTCAATATCAACCCTTGGTCACCTTTTGTTTTTGTTCTTGCAACTGACTGCAAAATAAACTTTGACAAAATGAGATTTAATTTGAATTTTTTCCAAGGTTTTTCAGTGTGTACTGTGTCTTTGCTTCTTGTTGTTACTACGGCTACATGTATATTGTTATATACTGACTTAATTTTTTAGAAATTCAGCGAGTTCCTTTGGAGAAGCTGTGTCTTCGTATAAAAGTCTTGGGACTTTTCTTCGGCCGAGAAATCAAGGTTTGTAAGCTAAAATTGTCATTGTAACTATTTACACTCTTCCTCTTACCTAGAAATCAACTTAAAGTGACTAACCACAGTGGTGAGTTTGTACAGCTCACTTTTCGATTGTCAGAAATTCATCACTGCAAAGTGGGCCTCTGGCGAAGGGCTTAACGTAGAAAATGTCAGCTTTACACGGAACTCATCACTACAGCGGTTAAGTTTTTCGCTCAATTCCCGTAGACGCAGCATACTGATTTAGAAAATAATATGAACTTTTATGCTTCTTCTTACAAATCCGGCGCTTTAACCATAAGGCCATGCCGTCTCTGACAAAACAAACATCTGTTTGTACAGCATTACTTGCTTATTCGTGATGAATTTAATTTTTCCTTTTTTCTGTGTCACAGGATGTTCTAGGCAAACTCCTGGAACCGCCATCTGAAGAATCAATCAACGATTCCATCAAAAGACTNAACTATTATGACACCCACAACTAGCAAAATACCCACAACGCGAGCAGCTGAATGACCAAAACCACCAAAATGACATTTTCTATTTCTTTAATATTATCGTGGAAAAATAAACATTAACAAAGTGCTTTATTGTGTGTTTTCAGAATCTCACTTCATTGGGTTATCATTTGGCAGCTTTGCCTGTTGATGTGAGGTGAGTTTGGACCACGCTGTCATAAGGAATTTACAACGGTCAGTGTAAAATGCAGACTGGGGAATGCAAACTGCAGATCGCAGACCAGGGTAAAATGCAGACTGAGGGTAAAATGCAGACTGGAGACTTTTTAACTGAATCGTGTCACCATTTCAGTCATTGAGAGCTAACCGTAAACAGGCTAATCTGAGCGTTATGCAGGCTTAACCTGAGTGATATTCAGGCTAACAAGAGTGATATGCAGGCTAACCAGAGTGATATTCAGGCTAACCAGAGTGATATTCAGGCCAACCAGAGTGATATATGCAGGCTAACCTGAGTGATTTTTAGGCTAACCAGAGTGATACACTGACCGAATTCACACTGAGGTAGATAGACTTCAAGCTAACCCTCACTCAGGAATCTTTGTCAACATAAAGGAGCAAATTGGTTTTGTTTAGCAATGTCCTTTCAATTTGTGTCGTTCTGAAATAAACGCTCCCATTCGAATGCGCATTATGCGATATGTGCCTGTTTATTTTCAGTAGTTCGTTTTTCTTTCCTTTAATTTAGGATTGGGAAGTTAATGTTGCTAGGTGCCATATTTCAATGTCTGGACCCTGTGTTGACCATTGGAGCGATACTCAGCTATCGTTCACCGTTTGTAAGTGTTTCTGCTGTATTTTGTTCTTCAACAGAAAGCTTAACCTGATAATTGGGGGTGTGTATAGCTGACAATTTTTCCGGGACTTTAACCGCTTGCCGCTAAATAAAGGTTGGCCGCTTAAACGGGGGGCCGCTAAATAGAGGTTCGACTTTAGTTATATATATAATACATAAATAAATACATAATTTGAAAGTTAACTAAGTAAAGGAAGCTGGAAATTTGGATGCNATACAGTCCTTTTTTTGATGAAAGCGAAGAAATAATAGCAATAATTCGGAAATTAATTTTAAGGGAAGAAATCAGCCGCTTCTTTCTGATTTTCCACTGGAATAAATTTCCGAGAAGTTTGTTCAAAAAGACTTGATTTGGATGGCCCATTTCAGTGGCGGAAGCAGACCTTGAGCTAAGGAGGGGCCCGGTTTTGTTTAGCTTGCCCTGCCAGCTTTTCTCCCTTCTGTGATTTTCTTTTTTTCTTTTTTTTACCCGAAATAAGGGGGGGGGGGGGCCGGGCCCCTCCCATAGATCCGCCACTGCTATTGTTTCTTGTTTTGGCTGTGAAGGAAAGGGGAAGGGGGGCGTGGAGGTGGAGGACACATTTAAGTCAGACACGTTTCTTATGTGCCCACGTCTGTAAGGTACACGCCTCTTAAAACCAGCGCTCCAATGCCAACCAGTGGTGGACACCTCTTCTATACCCACATCTTTCTAAGGGAGACACACTTAGGTGAAGAAGTCTTCTGGCATCAGTTGACATTCAGAGGTAGCATTGAAGATGTAGCACAAAAATATAGCTCTTGCAAATGTTATTAGTAATTTTGTAAAGGCATAAAGAAGGTTCCAAATGTTCGTTCCCAGGGCTGGCTCGAGGCTATGGCGACCGGAGTGGCCGCTGGGTATCATTTCTGCCGTTCAAACTTCTTATCCATGAAAACCTTTCAGGTAAATAAGTACTCACTCCTATTTAAAACTTTTTACAGTTTAACAAAAGGTAATCTTGTGTAATGGCGTACATGTGCTACATATAAAGTTATTTCAACAAAGTTATCTTTATGTCATTGTAGATGATTGCCAGCCTCAAGTGTCAGTACGCAGAACTATTGTCTGATATCGGTTTCATAAAAACGGACCTGACGGCCAGGAAGATATCAATGGATCACAACAAAATCAACTATGATTTGATTGTTGCCATTCTAGAATGGATTGTGGGCAAAGAGCACGAGGTAACCACTCTTCATTGTCTTTGTAATATAGTATACATGTATATATATATGACTGAATTTATGAAAACCATGTTAAAGGCCTTGCACCAAAATAGCCGTAATTTTATGCACTCTGATTTTACAACTCCTAAATCACTTCAAGTAGTGGAAAAAAAATAGCGAGAGGAGAGCAAGAAAAGGAAGATAAGAGAGCGGAGGAAAAAAAAAGAGTGACATTCCTTTAAATTTTATATCGGCTTCTTTGGAGAAAAAAAATGCTTCAAGATTTCTTTAACTCTGTAGAGATACTCCTATCACTTGGCTTCATGTTACAGTTGACCTATCTATTGATAGTTACTTCAGTCCAGTGCACATTTAGGTCTCAGGTTCATCTAAGTTCATAGCTATGATTTTCCTTGGTTATTTTCATTTTGAATTTGCTATCTTAATTGAGGACCTCAGTAAACCACTTTGTGATATAGGGTTATAATAATAATAATGATAATAATAATAATAATAATAATAATAATAATGATGATAATAATGATAATGATGATGATGATGATAGTGATAGTGATAGTGATAATGATAATGATAATAGTAATAATAATAATAATAATAATGAAGACTTTATTTAAGGAAAGTTAAACACTTAATAGCCAAAGGATAATAAACTTGTGACCCTCAGAAAATAAAACTATGAATACAAAATATAATATAATAAAAGTTAAAAACCTAAAATTATGAGAGATGCGAGTATACTGTTTACAGTAAGATTAAAAGATTAAATTTTAAAAGTTAAATCCTAAAATGGTCCAAATGTCGCTTTACTGCGAAGATAATTTATTTTAATTTATTTGTTATTAATTTTATGTATTATAATTATAATAATAATTAATTAAAATAATAATAATTATAATAATGATAGTAATATAAACATATTTAACCAGGGTAAACCCATCAGCAAATGCTGTCACATCAAAGGGTGCCCTAGACAACTAAAAATTATAAACTGGAACAGGCTTCAACTGTGTCAACTAGTTTGACCCAAGTGCAGAGTTGTGCAAAGGAAACTTTAAGGTCTACTGTAGACTCAAATGACTACAAAGTGCCTTGTTATCTTGTAGTACCCCAAGAGTGGCGCCGTGCTGGTGTTTCTTCCTGGCATGGGAGAAATTATGGCTTTGCTGGAACAACTTCAGAATCACAAAACATTCAGTTCAAAGACTTCTAACAGGTAAATAATTATTGAACAGGGAGAGATGGTTTCTCTTCCACGTGGAGTTAAGTATGGGTTATTGACCAAGTGTGAGGTCAAGATGGCTGGATATTGGCC